AAAATGAACAAAATTATATTTAGAAAAATCCCAGGTTTCCACTTTAAATTTTTCAATTTGAAATTAAATGATTTAAAGACTTTTTAGAGGAGCTAAAGTGTGGTTCTATACGGAAAATAAGTTTAAGAAGACAGTGAATTAAAACCAGATACAAACAATTATAAGGATGAAGAAAAAGTCCTCATTGCAAATTATGTTTTCTCTTTTCTGTCTTTTTTCTGAGGATATTGATGATTTTTAGTAATCTTATTTTGTCACTAACATGCTGCAAGTTAAGGTATATTCGAAGAAATTCTAACAGATGACTTTATTTATTTTAAACTGACCAAACCTTTTTTCTTTTGAGAATCCACCTGTTAGCACACACTACCGTATTCTGCACCATTCAGAATCTGCACCTCAGAAAAAAAAACAGATTTATAACAGTTTTGTACCTTGAAAAAGAAACTAGTCAATTTGATCTACATCCAAGTTGCAGATAAAAAAAAAACAAAAAAAAAACAGCTACTTTGACTACACCTCTGCTGGAAACATTTGTAGCTTTTGTGTGAGTCGTTTCTGCTGAATCTTGAACCATAGATATATTATGCATAGATAAAAATGAATAATGGAATAGATATACAGCTTTCTGTCGACTGATAAACATCTAATGAGCTGTACTTCTTTATCTGAGCATTATGATGCAGGAGTGTTTGTTTGCCTTTTAGTCGTGTTTGGCTATAAATAATCAATACTTGCGCTTGGGAGGTAAACACAATTCATTTAATATGATTATGAAGAGGGTAAATTAAACACATATCATTTTGTTCTAGCTTTAGTTGCTATTTCTCTAATACCTTTGGCTCTACTTGGCAGTAATCATCATGCATGAGCATCTTAGGTGGGGGGATTAATCATTAGTTTTCTTCTTTGGTTTCCTGGCCCTGGGTGAAAAAATCCTGCATCATGAATTCTCTATCTTTGAATTTGCCTTTTTATGAAGTGATTCTTTACTTTCTCAAAGAGGGAAGAAGCAAAAGGCTTTGAGACTCATCTTTAGGTGTTTAAACTTCAAATTTATCTTGCTGGGCTTTTAAAAACTTTCAGCTAGAAGTTGAGTCCCCTGTGTGTTTCTTAGAAAAATCATTTTGCAGTGCCTCATAAAGTGCTGACTGTTTGCAGAGACACTGTTCAAACATTTATACTAGAGCGTGTCATCTGATGTCTAGGAAATCAGAGACAGCACCCCCACCATTTTAGAGTCCCACTCGGTTCCAAGCACCTGCTGTTGTCAGTCATGATGCACTTTATCTGGACCTCTTGGTTATTATTTTCAAATTCCCTCATAATGCGTATTACAGTGACTGCAAACCTAACTCTGTGGCCCCGCTCCCATTTTGGGTACTTGCTCTGAATTTCCTATAGAAGTAATTTAACAGAAGTCTTGACTGAATCAGTAATTCATGCTCATTTATTCATGGCAGCAACCAACACTTTTCCTGCTTGGTGCTTTTCATGTGGTGCAAATGCTTTTTCCCCCTCCTATTTGGGTCATGATGGTCTGCTGCAGCTTTTCCTGTTCCCTGTGAAGTAAGAGCACATGGCTATAACTTTGGCTGCAGCAATTACAGGTACTACTGTAAACTAGCATGGTGTCATTACAAGTTTAGTCCGTAAAGTTTCATTAAAGACGTGTTATGTTTTGTCTCCCTTATTAATATATCTCCCTTATTAATATATGTTTAAAGTCCCTTCAGTCTTACAAGTAAAATAGCTCCATCAGCTTCCCTTTATGGCACCAAATGCCTCCCAGCTTGGAGGTAGGTTAATGATGGCATTATCATTGATCCCTACAAAGTAAGTTGAGGGCAATCAATGCTACACTGTGTGTTCTCCATGCAAGCTGGAGCCAGAATAAGCCGTTTGCAGCAGAGGGAAAACTTTCTGCAGATTAAAGAGATGACGCGAAAGAGATTGAGATTCTGGCTTATCTATGCATGTTGCTCAGTTTTCCCAGGAGGCAGCCACAGGCAGAGCTTTAAGGCGACATGTTTTTGGTTCCAGATTAGGCCTGCTGTCCAAATCTGCCAACATCTGCCTGCCATGAGGCCCCCAATTCTGGCAGTCATGCGCTAATTAATCAGGGTGTTGTGATAGTTGCCAGTTAGTCTCTCTGCAGCACAGGGACATCACCGAGCAGCGGGGTGGAAGCCAGCATTCAAACTGTCATCTGCTCTGTGAATTTGCACTGCATATGCAGACTCCTTAATGCCAGAGAAAACGGACCGTTATTCTCAGCATCAGAGTTAAGTTTATAGGCTGACCTCCGTCCAAAAACCCTTTATCTGCATTGCAGTTATACAGGTTCATGTCTAAATATGCAGAAGTTGCTAGACTTTGACTTTGTTGAGCGAGACTTTGTTGTGGATTTGCTTGTTAAGCCTGTAGACTCCTGACCTCAAATCAACAGAACACCTTTTCTAGAAGAATGGTAAAAAAAATTCTATAAATATTCCTTTAAAACTGAAGCTCTTACACCTAAAAAAGTGAAGACCATCCCCATGGATTAGGAATTAAATGTTCCTTAAGTTTATATGAACAAATACCTTCCTTTCCCCTTATTTCGGATCCTGGACTGAAACAGCTTGAAGAACCCTGATGTGGATTATGCAATTTTGAGACTTGGTTTGTTTTGTTTTTGGACCTTCGCAGTTATAAATAAGTCCAAGAAGAAAACGGGAACAATGACCTAGGCTCTAGTTGTAGTATGGGGTTGGGAGCAACAACCAGAGAGGTTTATTTGACTCAGAAAGAAGTGTCTTAAAGAAAACTGTCTTTTTTTTTTTTTTGGTTGCTATCTCTGCTCTGATCTACTCAGACATTTTAAGCAACAAAGATTCAGGAGAGGACTATATATACCCATATATAAATAAATAGCTCCGGGACCTATAAAGTCAACAGGGTTGACAGAAGTTGGTAAAGACGTCATTGTTGGAGTCTGCATTTTTATTTATTTATTTTCTTATTTTTTTTCCTACTTTCTTTGATTCTGTTTTATTTTCCTATATTTTAATTATGTAAAGCACTTTGCATGTCTTTGTACTGAATTGTGCTATACAAATAAATTTGCCTTGCCTATGCGTATCTAGAGCTGATATTTTAGTGAAGATAAAGACTTCTGTCATTCGTCTTCTAGCTCTAAAAAGCTCTATAAGGTTGTTTATTGTGTTTTCGATTTGTAATGCAGTTAAGCACTGCTTGTCACTTCGCCCATCAGTTGACATATTTAAGGCTTTTGATTTAGTTAAGGTCTAGCAGAACATCCAGCAGTCCAGAAAAAATGATCATCTGCGATAATATTCTGTACTCATGATCTAAAAAGTCTCAATAGATGTTTAAAAGGCTCTTTGAGTCTGGGATAATTTCTTGCTAATGGTGTCTCATTTTTGAAAAACCTACAAATTGAAAAGATGCTAAAATGAATGTATCCTGTACTATTTGTTTTGGGGTGACTTTTCTGAAAATTCATTGAATACACTGGATAGCAAATTGTTAAAGCTCCTCAGTTGTTGTCCCAGAGATGAACTTTGATAATGGTCCAACACTTTACATCAGATGATGCAGCTTTTTTTCCTTCCGCATGTCTGAGCCTTTTTCTGGTCCTGAGGCAATCATCACTCTCTAGGATGGACTCTTATCAAGGGTGCTTGGTAATTTGAGTCGGCGATGAGGTCAGGATGCAGGAGGAGGCCATTAATGAGATTTGCTGAAGGTGCTTTTGATGTTAATTTGCTGGCTGGGTGTGAGTTGCAAACAACGGCTCTCCAGAGTTTCGTCTCAGTGTTACATGAAAAAAGATTAAATTGAAAAGTTAATTGAAAACCAGAGATGGCATGTATTGTTCAGGACACTGATATTTGTCTTCTGCATTAGGCAGCCATGCACAGGACGAGCAGCAGAGCATCTGGCTGACTTTGGAAAGCTTTGCTTAGGATGAACGTAAATCTCATACATACTGGTTTCCTACCGTTTTCTCTTTGTCCTCATCTTGCATTTTTACTTCAGTTCAGGCTGCATATTCCTAATTACATTGAATAATCCAGTAAATTGTCTCTTATATACTTAATCCAATGTTAAAAGCTAAAGTTTTATTCTCATTTGAGTCGAGGTAATGAATTTTGCAGCAAAATTCATTTGAAAAAAAAACAGTCCACATCTCACACACGATAGCAAATACTGAGTTTAAGATGTACATTCTTGATGAATATAGTTTTCAGTGACATTTATGAAGCTTTCGGTGCGGTTTTGTTTCTGAACTGCTGTACAATTTATCAGAACACTCTCCCTGAGCCGTTTTTGTGACCTTCTGATGATGTTGCTCAATGATGGTCTTGAACAAACCTTTAAACTTGTATTTCCTTTGAATACTAAATCATATTCAAATGGGTTGTTTAATAAATTGTAGGCCTCTGATAGCAGTTGTTTGCACTGGTTTTACTTTGGTGTATCAAAATGATAGACACTAAATACATGCATGTCACATAGTTTTATTTAGTAAGCTTAAAAAATTTGCTACTTTTGAAACAATTTTTTGCTACTTTGTTGGTTCATCACATACAATATTAAAGTTTTTTTTTTTATAAAGCTGTGTGCAGCTGTTCATTAAATAACCATTCTTTACTTTTTCTTCTAGTTTTTTTTAATCCTATCAACTGGGAAAATATAAAAGTTCTCATGTTCATTAACAAATTAATGACTTTAGGAAAAGACTGCGAGCAGTAACAGCTGTTAGCAAGCAGGGCTGTATAATGATTAATATCTCTGCAGCACATCAGCAGTGTGCAAGAGGTGTGTAGTTTGTGCGTGAAGCCAGAATTGCTGTTAGGTGACCAAGTTTTGAGGAGTGAAGGCAATAATTGGATTAGGATTATGTCATAATCTGTACTTTCAACAGAAGCATATTTTTTTCCTTTAAATAACCCTGTTAATCAGTTTACCCAATTTCTGTCTGTTTCAGGTTCCTTTTTTAACAAGAATGAAGACATTTAGCACCTCGTGGTTCTTCTGATCGGGGATCTAAAAATGAGCCCATCTGAGTTATCAGATGGTCACCATGTCCTCCTGGCTTCGTCCATCAACAGAGGAACCCTTTGGACATACTGAACCTTTAATTGTGAACGTTCAGAAGGACAGCTAAACCTCTCGACAGAAAATGGCATCAGTATTTTTCAGTTACAATACAGAGGAGATTTTAGAGTACAGGTGAGGCTCAGCCAGAGCCCACATCAGCTATTGGACTATCAGCAGATGACCTTTAGAGAAGACTTAATGGTATAGCATCTGTCCCACCACCTTGCTGACAAGGTCGACTATGGCTGCAGCGCCTTACAAAAAAGGTTCCTTAGTGGGGCAAGGAAAGGACTGACAGGTCAACAATGCAGCGTAACGGTGGTGGAGTGGGTGTCGGAGGCCAGACGTGGGTGCTGCGCCGGGTGCGTCTCACGTGGCTCAGTTTCATGCTCTTCTTCATCCTGGTCTTCTTCCCACTCATTGCTCATTACTACCTCACCACCATCGATGAAGCAGGAGGACCCGACAAGCGCATCTTCGGGCCGCGCCCCGGTGGCGAGCTATGCGAAGCCAAACACGTGCAGGACCTATGCCGCATCCGGGAGTCGGTCAGCGAGGAGCTGCTGCAGCTGGAGGCCAAAAGACAGGAGCTTAACGGGGAGATCGCCAGGCTCAACCTACGCATCGAGGCCTGCAAGCGCAGCATTGACAGTGCCAAGCAGGATCTGCTGCAGCTGAAAAATGTTATTAGCCAGACTGAACATTCCTATAAAGAACTAATGGCCCAGAACCAGCCCAAGCTGTCTTTGCCTGTTCGACTGCTACCAGACAAAGAGGACCCAGGATTACCGCCACCAAAGTCTGCGCGTTCCTGTCGTCTGAGGTCATGCTTCGACTATGCACGCTGTCCTCTCACATCTGGATTCCCTGTCTATGTCTACGACACAACTACTTATCCATGGGGCATTTATCTCGACCCCCTGGTAAAGCAGGCTTTTGCAGCATCTGTCAAAAGCAATATTTATGTAACTGATAACCCAAGTATCGCCTGTTTATATGTGGTACTGATAGGAGAAATTATAGAATCTTCTCCTTTGCCATCTCCTCTAGAGCTGGAGAAGCAGCTGAAAGCTCTTCCCTACTGGAGGTCTGATGGACACAATCACCTCCTGGTGCATTTCTCCAGGAAGTCCATGACACAGAACTTCCTGTATAATGTCAGCACAGGAAGAGCAGCAGTCGCCCAGTCAAGCTTTCTAGAGCAGCAGTACCGTGAGGGCTTCGACCTGGTTGTCTCCCCACTGGTTCATGCTCTGTCAGAACCTAACTTTTTGGAAGTTCCACCACAGGTTCCTATAAAGAGAAAGTACCTTTTCACCTTCCAGGGTGAAAGGGTAGAGTCTTTAAGGAGCAGCCTGCAGGAGGCCCCCCCACAGTCATTTGAGGAGGAGCTGGAGGGAGATCCTCCAGCCGACTTTGATGATCGTATAATTGGCACTTTAAAGGCGGTGCAGGATAGCCGCCTTGACCAGGTGCTGGTGGAATTTACCTGCAAGAACCCAAAGCCAAGTTTGCCGACAGAATGGGCTCTTTGTGGGGAAAGGGAGGACAGACTGGAGGTGCTCAAGGCTTCTACTTTCGCCCTGGTGATTGCTCCAGGGGACGGACAGCTGGTCGCCTCAGCAGGCTGCGGCATGAGGCTGTTTGAAGCACTGGAAGTAGGAGCCATCCCTGTTGTGTTGGGGGATCACTCTAAACTACCTTACCACCAATTTATCCGCTGGACTGAAGCTGCCATTATAGTACCTAAGCCACGTGTCACAGAGCTCCATTTCCTTTTGCGCAGCTTATCGGACAATGACATGCTCGCCATGAGGCGCCAAGGTCGCTTTCTGTGGGAGACCTACTTCTCAACCTCAGAGAACGTTCTCAACACCATCCTTGCAAGTGTTAGAACCCGCATTCAGGTTCCCGCTGCTCCGATCAAAGACGAGGTCGCACAGGAGATTCCCCACAAAGCTGGGAAGCTGGCAGGAACAGATGCCAACCTGGCCGATAATGGGGATCTGGATCTGGGCCCTGTGGAAACGGAGCCTCCCTATGCCTCTCCTCGCTTCCTTCGCAACTTCACATACACGGCTGCAGACACGTACAGAGCTTGGAACAGGGCCCCGGGGCCCTTCCATTTGTTTCCTCACACCCCTCTGGACCCTGTGTTGCCCTCTGAAGCCAAATTCCTTGGCTCTGGAACTGGTTTCAGGCCTATTGGTGGGGGCTCTGGGGGCTCTGGGAAAGAATTCCAAGCTGCTCTGGGAGGGAATGTCCCTCGAGAGCAGTTCACAGTGGTCATGCTGACGTATGAGAGGGAGGAGGTGCTGATGAACTCTCTGGAGCGGCTGAACGGGCTGCCATATCTTAACAAGGTAGTGGTGGTGTGGAATTCCCCAAAGCCTCCCTCAGATGACCTTCTGTGGCCAGACATTGGCCTGCCTATTGTGGTAAGATTCATCTTTTCTCTTAAAACCTGTAGATTTGCTGCAAAGTGACATTTTTGTTAAAACTGCTACTTATACCGTTCTGCAAAATGAGTTTTATTTCTGATAGCTGGTCCTATTAAAGATGTCAGGGTTAGTTGTTCCTCTCTGTGTTTGTTTTTTTCTTATCAAGATAACAGAAATAAGCTTCCAGACATGCATACATCTGGTAAAAACCACACAAGTGACTGATCAGAATAATTTTTTTTTCCCATTTAGTATTTACTTCATCATTTAAAGCCAGAAAAATACAAATGCAGCAACTGGTTTTGCTAGCCCAGATATACAGAAATGCTGGTTTGTAGATCATTTTGTCTGGACCATAACTGGTTAAAGAAAAATCTAACTCCATTCAAGTTCTTTGTTAGTGGTTGTATTTTAAATGCAATCAGAAATAAATATGAGTTTTGTGACTCATTTTCATCATTTATCCACCAAATAAAATGTTAACTTTTATCAGTTCTTTATTTAATCCTATGAAATCAGTGGCTTAACTAAGTTCTGTTGGTTGATAATTTTATTGACATAATATTCAGATAAGAACAGTTCAGATCTGAACTACGGCTAATGATTGGTTTGCCTTTATTCAGAAGTACTAATCTGTTATTTGCTTTGTTGTCAAAGTCTCTTCAGTGCCAAAAATTGCCATGTTTATGTCCTATTTGTTGGTGTGTTGCCGAGTTCTTATGCAATACTTTAAGTTTACTGTAAAGTGTTAAAGTCTAGGATGTTAAGAAGCTGCTATTTGTGTATTTAATACCAGTAAAGTCTTTGTGCCTTTTGAATTGAGATAAATTGAGAAAATTTGAAAAAGAGATTTAAATGTTATTTAGGTTCTTTTTTACCTTTGAGAAAGGAAAATGGCCACTAATTTCTAAAAGAAATGGTAGCTTACATGATGAGTCTTAAATTGTTTTTCTTTATTTTTTTTCTTATAGATGTCTTTTCAAACTGGTACCAGTGTTGCTTTTATATTAATGGTCTTTTGCTAAACTCATGCCTGCAGGTTGTCCGCACAGAGAAGAACAGCCTCAACAATCGCTTTCTTCCCTGGGACGTCGTGGAAACTGAGGCCATCCTCTCCATTGACGATGATGCTCATCTTCGGCACGATGAAATCATGTTTGGCTTCAGGTCAGTCAATGTAGAGTATCTTTTACCTTCTGGAAGGATTTAAAACCCTTCTGACAAGTATTTATTTTATTTTTGTTTAATCTACTAAAAAAAGATTCTCTATGGTTCCTCTCACAGCTTTGGATGTTTCGATTAAAACTACTTACTCGCAATTCCTTTTTTTGTAATGGAATCATCTGGAAGGACATTTCGTTTTTAGTGGGTTTTTTTTAAACAATGCATGAAGAAAAACCTTAAGCATGAATACCTTAAAGTGTTATTTTTTTCTGCTTGAATATATTAATCCTTTTTGAGAGATCAACCCACTGTTCTCCAGTACCAATTCTTACTTTCCAGCATAAGATTGTGCATAGCCTTGTTGGTGTCAATTCAGTGTTCCATTCAGGTTAAGTTAGGACTGACTGGGTCACTGAAGCTCAATGATTTTACTGTTGTAGGTTTGCGCCTGAGTCTGGTATTATTTTCATAAGGTTTGTTGAATCATATTGGATTGCAGTTCATGTTTGAATGAATAACTAAAAGATGACAAAATCATCATTCCTCGGCCTCTAAGCCCCACAGTGGATATGTGATGTGTATTTTTACCAAACGTGCTGCTGTGCATTAGTCCAAAAGTCTCTTCTGTCTAAAGAACATTGCTTTGTGACAGAGGTTCCCAATCCTGCTCTTCAGGTACCACAGTCCTGCATGTTTTATGTGTCTCCTTGCTGCCACACATCTGACTTGTATGAATCAATGATTAACAGCAGAAGAACAGGGTTGTAAAGTTAGTGCAGAGAAAGGTAAAACCTGAATGGTAGTGGTACTTGAGGACCAGATTATATAACCTCTGCTCTAAATCAGTGCTTTTCAAACCATTTTCTTCAGAATCCACAGTCCTGCATGTTTTACATGTCTCTGCTTCAGCACACCTGCATCAAATGATTGCATTTACTTCTCAACAGCCACCAAGGGCTGCAGGGCCTGATTAATCACCCATTTTTTTTTGGTCAGGTGTGTCACATTTGAAAACCACTGTAAATTTAGTCAAGATAAAACTGACTATAGCTGATTTAAATAATTTCTGATAAAATAGTTAAGCTTTATGTTGAAGAAAAACTGGGGTTAAAGGGTCTTGGTCTGATTTGTTACCAGGAGACAAATATACTCCCTATTTAATTTTAATTGTAAACATTCTTTCTACTTCACAATTATGCAGAAAAATAATTCTAAAAATGGTAAAACTCCAAATTCTGAAAAATACAGAATCTGTAAAGAGTTCAAATTTAGTTGAAAATCGATATACAAGGTACCCGAATGTTTAACGAAATTTTTTGTGCTGTTATTTCGTGAACATCATTGCTCCTATTCCAGTCTTGTGTGAGATTGCAGTGGCAGCTTTTCCAGACAAGCAGAAACTTATCCTCTGACTGTTTGTGTGTGCACTGGCTCATTTGTGATGAATTTCTCAAACGTCCCCAATGATTATCCAAGAATGTTTCCTGACCTCCACTCTGAGGAAAGGGAAGTTGTGGCGCAGCTGAGCATCTTAGATAAGTGGTTTCACATGAGCTCATTTGAGATGCTGAATTGCTTTTTGAAATTTCTTGGATCTTATTTGACGGTAGGAGACGTTTATCTAATCTGATCAACTTCAACACGCAACTCAGCTGAAGTATGTTTCTTTCTAGTTTACAGATGTCCCACATGAATATACTTGCTTGTTAAAGTATTTATCCCCCCATGACATTTTACAAATTTCTTTTGACATTAGAACAAAAACAATTATTTGGCATTTTATAGGGATTGAATGAACTAAATCAAAACAAGGTGCAAAATAATTTTAAAATGGAAGAAAAAAAAGAAAGAATTATATAAAATTATAGAAGTATAGTTACTTAGCATTTTCCATCTGTACTTAAATAATAAACAAATGCAATCAAATGCCTTCAGAGGTCACATAATTAGTTTTTCATCCACTAGTTTAATCTAATAGACTGTTCTGTGAAGGCCTCTGTTAATTTTTTAACAGATTCATGAAGACCAAAGAGCACGGCATGCAATGCATGGATTAATCTGGAGCAGCTGAAAAATTCCACAGCTCATCTTGGACGATTTGCTGTCAGGACAATGATCCAGCCTTCAGGGTATGGAGGACCAGGAGTCATTGAAAAACAGCCATTTCAGTTTATACCCTCTCGTTTAACCTTTTGATCCCTGAGCACACTGAAAACCAGTTAAACAGTCGCAGTAGCTCCTCAGATATTAGCAGCTCTATTGATGGTCATGTTGTGAACCAAGTGTGGATGTCTAACCAATGAGAGAGCTAAAATCACAATGCAGCTGAGAAAAGTATTTTAAAATGCAAGATGAAAAAGAAGGTGGTTTTGCAATGAGGATCTAAGGAATCCATCTTTTAAATGTGTCATAACAAAGCTATTAATCAGATTTATGAATTGTTTTTTTTTAACTCCATGTAGCACTCCATATAGATTTGGAGAATGGCTTAATAAATAAATTTCTTCATTAATAATTCAATGAAAAATGTACAATATACTATTAGAAAATGCTTTTCACATTAGATTTCTATATGCATGATTCCAATTTTAAGTTTTAAATGCCTTTTTTTTCAGTGTGGCAAAAAAAAAAAGCTGCTACAGAAGTAAAAAAGCAGTAGAACGTCAAGCTAAACGTTGGCAAAGAACGTTTATTAAAGAGACAGCATTCTCCACTTTTTGGATTTCAAATTGTAAAAACTACTTTATAGTACTCTATGTACTTTGTCACACAAAACCCAAACAAATGAGGTTGCAGTTTATGGTTATGTCAAGCTGTTACTAATTTAAAGGATTAAGAATAAGTTTATGACTTACGGTACTAAAATTCTTTGGCATTTAACATCACTTATTAATATAATATAAGGATGGAAATGCATGAGGAAAAAGCTTTATCTGATCTTGTAAGAGCTTGAGCAAAGTTTCAAAGGAATCTGTTTTTCTGTTTGATGGTGTCTCTCAGAGTGTGGCGTGAGGCCAGAGATCGCATTGTCGGTTTCCCTGGGAGGTACCATGCGTGGGACGTCAACCATCAGTCCTGGCTCTACAACTCCAACTACTCCTGTGAGCTCTCCATGGTACTGACAGGAGCTGCTTTCTTCCATAAGGTCAGACTCTGAACACTCTTATAAACAAACTATGGCCCTGTAGAGTTTAAGGCAGCCATATTGTTGACTGATTTCCCCTATGTTTTTTTTGTCCTTGTAGTACTACGCCTACCTGTACTCTTACGGGATGCCCCAGGCCATCAGGGACATGGTGGACGAATACATAAACTGCGAGGACATTGCCATGAACTTTCTGGTGTCTCACATAACCCGCAAACCACCCATCAAGGTCAGAAACGTAGCATGCAGTGTCCTCACCCTTCAGGTTCCTGTTACTATTCTAGGATTTATTTTGCGTTTATTTCCCATGTATAAACTCCCCATTACTCAAACAGACATATCCAATATCCTCACACAAACATTTTCAGCTCAAATCGGTGTGTTCTGCTTGAGTTTTCTTCTCGAGCGTATGTTTATGTCTCCGGCAAATAATTCTAATCAAGCCATGGAAATTGCTGGAAATCTCTGAACTGCCTTCGGTTTTAAAGTTCTGCCTGATTTATATGTCTGGCAATTTTCAGCAGGGAATTAAGGCTGCCTTTTGTTGTGCGACAGCACCTCACTGTAGAGTAAGCCCCCTGAATATTGAATTTGGAGCAAGTCTGTCGTTCTTATGGTTGAGGGGAGATATTTCTCTTCTTTTCCGGCTAATAGGACAAATAAGATTGGGAACTAAATTGCTTTTTTTTATGCACCTCTGGTGAGAAGCTGACATTAAATTTCAGATGTTTTGTGAGGCTTTTTTCCCCCTTCAATATTGAGATCTTAAATAGCACAGCAGCAGATTTACCACTGTTGTTTTTAAACGGAGGGACCTTATCTTTTAGGCAGGGGTTTTTATAGAAACATCTATCCACTCTTTAAGCTGCCGCTTTGTGCCTTTTTTTTTTTACTTTAATGCATTGTAAGATTCCTGCTTTTGCTGCTTGATTAGCTAACATTTGTTCCCTTTGTGTGAGAGAAGCACTGTCTCAAGCTGACTTTGTAATAGCTCTGGAGAATCTCATAGAATAGGCTTTAAATGGGCCTTTTGATGGCTTTGTCTGTTATAATGGGCTCACAGCTGAGACTAAAACAAAGCTTCAAAGCTGTTTTATTTATTTTTTTGTTCACCAGCAGCACTGATTATTGTATATGAAAACTTCAGCAGCAGTGACTCTGCAGCAACCATTTTAAGAGCTTAGCATCTTGTCTATAACACTGATAAATTAAATATTTATTAGACAGTTGGCAGAACATGGGAAACTTTCAAAAGATCAGTCTTGTATTTAGGATTGAACAAAGTGCGAGTTGAAGAGTTTGTTATAAAACAAGGACATGCTGTTTTTTTTAAAACTGCAAAATAAAACTAAATTGTCCTTGATTAAAGCTTTGTTTTCCAAATTAGAGGACTTCCTTTTCGGCTCATTTTAGATCAAATCTATAAAATGTTAAACTATCGCACATGTTAATATAAACAAACCCATGTTTACCTTTTAATTTTAAGATTGTTGGTCGTCCGTTGTCCTTCTGTTTAAGTGTAAACACAATACCATAAAAGAAAATCCATTTATGAAGATATGGTGTAATCTTTATCTCGATGCACTGCTTCTCTAAAAGAGGGTAAGCCACGATACAATATGAACAAAGCTGACTGTTCTGAATGCTTTATCAACACTGTAATAAAATATTAAGTGGGGGGAAAAGTGTTGCAGAAGGAACAGATTAGATAGTGGGGAAAAATCCTACTGCACTTAAGTGAACCTTTAAATTTAGGTCTAGAAAAAAAAATGTATACATTTAAAAAGCTCTGTTTTTGTTTTTCGCTTCTGGATTAATAACTTGGGTTTTAAAGTTAATAGTTTAGACACTGCAAGGATTACTAAGATAGTAGATTAGATCTAAAAAGGTTCTCTTGTGGATGCTGCACTCTTAAGGGTCCATCTTTACACATTTTAATAATTAGTTAGCACCTCTTGAGCTTGTTTAGTTTTATTAAAATAACTTCCCATTTGAGGTTTATTTTTATTTTAATTTTTTTTTCTATATGTAATTGCAGAGGATTCCTTGTGTAATGAAATATGCTCTGTGCTATTGTGTTACTTTTGTGTAACAGAGCAGACTTTAGCACTCAATGCTTAAATTTGCTTTAGAGGCTTTGACTTGTTTTTCTTAGCAAGTTTTTTTTTTTTCTGGAATGTTTTCTAACCACAAACCACTTCCCCCAGAATCGTCTTGCTGTTTGTGCTTCATTACTTTGTGTTTTGAAGCAACTGGGGTGGAAAAGAGTTTATTTATTTATTGTTTGCAAGGAAGAAGGATAAAAAGGTTGCATTTATGGATGTTTATAATAAGCTTTTCCCGAGGTGTCCTAATGACCGCTAAACAAATGATTCACCTTCAGATTTTTATTGATTTTAGCATCTTCATTTAAAGGAGAAGTTCGGTTTTTTACACTTTAAGCCCATTTTCTGTAGTGTCCAGGATGAAATCGAATGATCGACACCAAAAGTTTGACAATTGGTCCTGTCTCTGCTTTTGGCTCATTTAGAATCAACCCCTGGCTGCTTTAGAATGGCTTGCATAGAGCATGTCCGATAATGTCCTTAAAACAACCTTAAACGTTCTTTTTTTAAAATATGCTACTCACCGGGTCGTCAGCGCTGTTCAATGACGTTCCAAAAAAAGTTTCGTAAAGAAAAAACGTTCCTGTAGTGTTTTATTTAGCATTTTGTAAATCCCATTGAGTTCTGTAGGAATAGTCAATATTCCCCTGCCACCGGAAACGGAAATGGGGCCTGTTTACACAGTTGTAGTCTTTTCGCTTCACTCTGTGTACTCCGACGTCGAGGTGCTAACGTCTCTGTTAAACACTTTAAAAAACTCTGAAAATGGAATACGAAAGGTGGATTCTTGATTCTCGACGTCGGAGTACACAGAGTGAAGCGAAAAGACTACAACTGTGTAAACAGGCCCCATTTCCGTTTCCGGTGGCAGCGGAATATTGACTATTCCTACAGAACTCAATGGGATTTACAAAATGCTAAATAAAACACTACAGGAACGTTTTTTCTTCACGAAACTTTTTTTGGAACGTCATTGAACAGCGCTGACGACCCGGTGAGTAGCATATTTAAAAAAAAGAACGTTTAAGGTTGTTTTAAGGACATTATCGGACATGCTCTATGCTAGCCATTCTAAAGCAGCCAGGGGTTGATTCTAAATGAGCCAAAAAGCAGAGACAGGACCAATCGTCAAAATGTTGGTGTCGATCATTCGATTTCATCCTGGACACTACAGAAAATGGGCTTAAAGTGTAAAAAACCGAACTTCTCCTTTAAGTGTATCCTTGCTGTTCCAAAATCTATTTTTATGATAAAAATATTAACTATTGATGGTATTAGATTATTATTATTATTATTATTATTTTTTTCATTTTAAAGTTTGTTTTTGTACTTTGTGGCTTTATCAACTGCTCTTTGCTATAAGATTTTCAGACACTGTTAATGTTTGCACATTGGCGAGAAAATGCTTATTCCTTGTGACATCACCACACATTGAAATATGTTCAGTTGACACTTTATCAGGCCAGAAATGGTATATGGTGTGTTCTCTTTTCTTTTTAAATCAAGGATGAAGTCGCAAAATCATCTTTGGGGTAGATTTAGGTCATAAAACATTTTGAGCTTTGAACATGTCACAGAGCTCTGTTCCATCAATATTGCAATGTTTTTGACACAAATGCAACCCAGCAAAGAAATTGATAAAAAAGAACAATGAGTAGATGGAACAAAGAGTCAAGAACCCTGGTTTAAAGGGGAAACTATTGCGTACACTGCAAATCTAACCTTTATGGAAGACTGGCAGGAAGAAAGCCGTTTTTGAACAAGGCTATAAGAACATCTCATATGTAGTTTGTCACAAACACTCCAAGACAAATAAAAAAAAAAACACTATTAGTCAAAATGAAACCTTAACTGTACTTTCTATCTATCCATCCATTTTCTCCTGCTTAGTCCTTGTCAGGGTCGTGGTGTTGCCGGTGCCGATCTGTTTTTGCGTGATTCTATCTCTAGAGACATGCAAAGACAAACAACCATGCACACTCACGCCTAAGGAGAATTTAGAGAAGCCAATTAACCTAAAAGTCATGTTTTTGGACTGTGGGAGGAAGCCGGAGTACCTGGAGTGAACCAACGCATACACAGGGAGAGCATGCAAAAAGATCCCAGGCCAGTAATCGAACCCAGAACCTTTTTGCTACAAGGCAGCAGCATTATCCAATGTATCGCTGCACAGCCCAATTATTTTCTAATCTTTTTAAAAAGGACCTCGTTAGGGTTGCAGCAGAGAGCTCCGCCCTTTAGGGAATTCTCCCAGAGGAAACCCCTCGCATATAACTCACAACTCTCAGGTAAATAATGGGCAATGTCAGCAGCAGCCTTTGGTTCCCCAATCTCACCTGCATGCTTTGAAAGCCCACTGTGCCTGTGATTTACACAGATTACCTGGTTTAATGTTGAGGACAATAATGTCATTAATAATAGTGAGCTCTATAGCTGTAAATTTAAGAAACTTTGACTTGAAAGGGACTAATCTATGTAGTAATGCCTTGCCTTTTCTCATACTTGGAGGTGCCAGCATCATGCTTTCTGTCGGCAAATAAAAAATCTGGTAGAGGTTGATGGAAAGGGATAAATATTAAGTAAGTAAACCTGTTTGAGGATGCAAAGGGCTTGGGTTCACATTTTCATAAAGAATAAACTTTAAAATCTAGATGTGCAAAGCTAGAAGAGATGTACCTCTAAAGACCTGAAGCCAGTTGCAGTTAAGAGTCGCTCTACCTAGTATGGACTCAGGAAGATGAATACAAACAGATACTATTATTTTAAGTAGCTTTTTTATGTTTTTGGGGTTTTGTTTTTTTACATCTGAAAGTTGTACATTTCCTTACCCTTGAGTTATATTCTTTGTTTCTGTCCGTCATAAAATCTCATTTAAATGCATTGAAGTTCGACTGTAACATAAACAGTGAAAAATATCCGTGCTGCTGAATATTTGTGCAAGGTTGTTTTTTTTAGTTTTTATCTTGTATTTCTTTACACGGCTTGTCTTATTTATATTTTATCCATCTATCCTCATCAGAATGTGTATTTTTGTTGTTGCCCACTTAGCCTTGCCATTACTCAAACTGGCATTTTCTATATTGCAAACACACAATTATAATTACAAACTGCCATATTGAATCTGTACTATTCTTTTCTCCAGGATTTCTCATACAAGGACATTTTATCACTGGACAGCATATTTATGACTGACCAGTACAATAAATCAGGTTTTTCAGCAACAGTTGGTAAAACAACTGTAAATTTACGGTCCCTGTGTTTGTTTCAGGTAACCTCCCGGTGGACTTTCCGCTGCCCTGGCTGTCCTCAGGCCCTCTCACATGACGACTCGCACTTCCACGAGCGCCACAAATGCATCAACTTCTTTGTCAAGGTGTACGGTTATATGCCGCTGCTATATACGCAGTTCAGAGTGGATTCTGTGCTGTTTAAGACTCGTTTGCCCCATGATAAGACAAAGTGCTTCAAATTCATCTAGTGTGGGGTCGATCGTCTTACAGAGAGCCTGAAACAGTGGATGAAATGACTGAAACTTCCACCAGAAGTAGTGAGGAAGACTGACGGTCGGACTGCAGGATTAACAAGCAGGAGGGATCAGATGTTGAGTTGGATCGAACGTTTAACAGCTGCGGATTCAGAGAGCGGAAGATAAAAGAAACTACTGCCGAGAAATGAAGCTTTTTCATTGGACAATTTTCTTTTTTTTTTTACATGCCTTTCCAATCATGTTCCATCATCAACCACTAGTTACAGAAACTGTTTGCACCTCTTAACTGCCTGCTAAAAAAAAAGGAGGCAGTCTTAAAGTGTACAGAAACACATAATGGATTAAGCTGGGAGCGTTTTAGTTAAAAAAGAAAAAAAAAACCTTCTTTAAACTCGAGCACTGATGGTCAGACGTATTTTATCAGACTTTCTTTTTTTTTTAAAGGATGTCATTTAAATGTGTAAATATACGTCTTGTGGACATTTTTCCAAACCTCCCCGCCTTTGGGGAAATCAAAAGTACAACCGCTGAGTCCAGTCCTGTCTAGACAGCAGTACGTCCTCCAGAGGGAATTTAGCAGTCACCGCAATGCCTGAGAACTGTCAGTAAAACCAGCCAACACATTTTCTGGTTCAAGTCATCTTTAAAAGGAGTAATATTAACCAAACACCTGCAGATTATAAATATACCTAAAGAAGCACTGCAGCCTAAATCAAGCTTGAATGCAGTTTGAGGAGTTAATAAACACCGGTCATAAAACTCTCAATAATGACAAAAAATATAAAAAAATGTTTTTTTAAGCACAAGTTTTAGATTATTTTTAAATTCCTGATCATCCATACCTCATACATACATGCTGAAAATATACTTTACCCTCAGTAATTTATTTTTAAAGCTATGAACGCCTTTTATTAGGCTTTTCAAGCCCTCATTTTGCTGCCATCAGAACAATTCTGACTATGTCTGAACCCTGACCACCATAGAATTGGTTGAGAAAATTAGTCGGCTTCCTTTGTAAAACATTTTAAAGTCCAAAAATGTTAATAGATCTGAGATCTGTTTTATTCATTCACATACCAGTTCTATGTTTTTTATTGGACCGTACAGCTTTGTCCACGTAATATCTATATAGATGATTGTTTGAGTTAAATTACGCAAATTTGCTGACAGTCAATAATTATTTGGGTCACTTTTTAAAGTACAACAGAACAACCTGAAGGGATATAGGTTCCAGTTATCGTGCCACAATAAATGTTCCTGTCTGTATCCTAATAAGTTTCCTATCATTGTTTATGTCTTGAGGATGAAACCTTAGAGAATTTGACTCATTCATGTCAGCAGATTTATTTTTAACATTGACTGATTTCAGTCTGTGTTGATGTTAAACTCAGTCAGTTGTTGACACTGAGGCTGATATTCCAGCAACTTCTAATGTATGAATGAGGTTTAGGAGTTCTTGGGTTGCTTTGTGTTGAACCTGTACAAAGTGGAGTGTCTCAGTAATTCATTCATCCTATACTTCATCAAAACTGGCTTTCGAAGGCTTAGATTCTTTTTCACCTTTCATCCTATGTTGGGTCCCTAAGCAAACGAGAATTGAATTTTTTTTCCCGGTCTGCACTATCATTAGGATTATGAAGTGTCCTTTGTCCTTCCTTCTACACTATCTTCTTACATCTGGTCACCCTCACTCTGTTGTGTAGTCCGTTTTTTCCTTATGTCCTTATTTCAGTCCCTTTTATCTTTTCTTCCTTCTATTCCTCCTACCTTGCAGGTACCCTCCTCCATTTCCCTTATATACTCCTCTTTTTGTCATTTAATCTGCCCTATTTTCATCCTTGTGTCCTTCCTTCTCTTCTTTCACCTTTAATTTTTATTTCCTGCTTCCTTTCCTCTTGCCCTTCCTTTCCTACCTTCATTATATCCAAACCTATCTTTCAATTATTTTCTATTTATGCATTATACCCCCCATGCACGTATCAGTCATAAATTCACAGTTAATGTTTGTATTTTATATTTAAAAATCGCTCAAGACAAAGTGAGGAATAGGAAGCCTAAAAATAGTTTGAAACTTTTACATGAAAACTTTGAAGGAGCCCATTAGAAGTGTGAACATTGCCTAAAGCTGTTTCAGTGGCAGGAAATAAACCAATTAAAATTAGTTCTGATAATTCTGCCAGCAGGAGAGGTCAAACTCTCAGCCAGGATCTTGTCAGGAACTTGTTGATAACTCAAAAGGGACAATTAATTTTTACCGACGTTGAGAAAAACGGCTGTTTTGCTGCAAAATTAACCAAATATTACTGGAGGTGTATATATTTGAGCTAATCCTTTGCACTCATCTATTTTATTTTTTTTATTGCTGATGTATGTGTCATTACCCCCTCCCCCACACCACACACAAACACACAAAAGAACTGCTCAAATGCCTCATTAAATGCCTAAAACTAATGACTTTTATGTCCGTGAGGAATTTCTGTAAACCTCTGACTAGAATGTGCTCTTAGGACATTAAATCTGAAACTACAAGCTACAGTTTTTTCTTCCTCTGTCAGAATGTGACAAATATACCTCCTACTAGCACAGTTAGATCTCTCTAATTAATTTAGTTTTGTTTTATGGGGGAGCAATGGTAATGATCCGAGTGAAGAAATGGTCCAAAACATCAACTCGTTGGCTAATTTGGCTCCTGTGCTCCCATTTCACTGCTGCAGTTTGTGTCCGTACCGTGCTGAAAACGAGAGCTTTGCTCCCAGAACGGGGAAAGCAAATTAATTTCCATTTGAATGTCAAATCTCATCAACGTTCTGCCTTTTCCAGCACAGATATGGGGCCACATCCTCATGTAGACAAAGTTTTTAAAGTGTCACATTGATTCCTTTACTTTTTGCTTGAATGTTGTTTTTTTTGCCAAATGGGTACGATGTCTGCAGCTTTACAGCATAAGTTTGCGAGGTGCTCAATAAAGGGATGCAGAATGGTACGACTACTGGAGCCGAACCATCATGTATTATAAATCCAAAATCCTGCTAATTTCTGTAATCTGAACATAAAACATAAAGTCAAAGTGATGGTCTTTCCCGGCATTTGTATTCTGTGAGGATGCTTTTATGGAACTTTAACAAAATGGTGTATATTTATTAATGTTTTTAAACTTGATAAGACATGCAATAAAACCATAATGTTGTGGTTGCTTGTTCCTAATCACGTATATTACCTAATTGACACGTCACGTTGATTTGTTGCCAATGACTTTGTGGTGCCTCCAACATGAGCAGAGGAGAGGAAATCTTAAAGGCCAAATGTTGCACCTGCTCCAGAGTACAGCTCCTATTAAAGTAAAACAGGCTCAGTCTATATTTCTGGGATGCAGATTTTTTTTATTTTTGTCTTTTGGGACGTGACCAAAACCAAACTATATATCCCCTCCTGATGGAAATACAATAACCTTCTAGGCGTTTTGTAATTACCTTCCGACTCTGATCGAGTCCTTAGGGCTCAGTTCAAGCCAGCCGTTCTTCCTCTGTGCTTTTTTTTTTTTTTTCTCCCCCTCAAGCTACAGTAGCACAACTAGTTTTCTGTGGCTTGAAGTAGAATAAATCTAAGTCTGCAGTCCCCCTGCAAGGTGTAAATATTGATGTGTGCTACTTGGTCTGTCTCCCCCCCTTTGGGTGAGGCTCCAGCCACCTGCTGTCAGACTGACTGTGTCAGACATACCATTCAAAGACCAGAAGAATGGAAATAAAACCTTGTTTAACAAAAACATATTGTGACTTGTCTTCATTCTTGTAGCTGCTTCCTTCCTTAGATAATTACCCTGCAGTGGGACTCCCTTTGAATTTTCTCATCACATTTGATCACCTTGCAACCATAAACACAAGAGCATTTTAAAGAGACAAATAAAGCAGCATACAACTGAAAGCCAGGCTATATTGGAAGGAGAATCTGCTTTAGTCTTTACCTTCTTGCAGGTTTTCTTCCACGAGGGGTCCACAGGGCACAATAATTTTTTACTGTCTCCGACCAGCTTTCAGAAAAGCTTTCCCACAGCATAATGCTGCCTCTACCATTCCTTGCTTGGGACAGACCACCAAAGGAACTTTTTGCACCTTGTCTGCCATATATGCTGGGGTTGTGGCGTGCATAACTAATGGTTTGTTTTTCTTTAAATGTTTTCCCACTTCAGCTGTAGATCTTTGCAGCTCCTCCACAGCTGCCATTGGCCTCTGGGCTGCATTAAAAACAAGATTCTTTCGTACTGTTTCTTCCTTTTGCCTTTAAACCGTGAGTTGCAGACGCACTGCAGTCGTGGCTGGAGTTAAGAACCTTTTAGGAGAACCTAAGCCTAATGTTCTGGGGAAATATTTATTTTATACAGTCATTACAGAGAAAACATCTCTGGATCCTGCTGCTATAAACAGGCTTTTATTTTTGTTTCCGTGCAAAATTCATTTTCATTTCAACAATAGCTAATTACTAAGACACTTCATGTGTTTGGATTTACTTTAGATTAAAATATAAGTGGATTCACTTTGCGCTGCTTTCCTAAATACATTTGATGATCTTTCTTTCCCAAAACCTCAGTTAAAATGAACAAACGAGTGTTGGTAAGCTGGTAGCTGCATTATGCTCATTCCATGTTTTGAGTGTGGATTAAATTCGGCTTTGTAAGATATATAAAAGGTTTGAAAATAGTTTCATAATTAGCCCTGGGTTAAAGTCCCCTGACTCCTCACCCTTGATTTGTCCATTTTGTTTCTCAGTCTGATTTATCCTGTTTGGTGACTAATGCTCTGTATTTATACTAGAATTAAATCAAACACTGATCTCTACAAAGCTAATAGTTGACCTTTGACATCAGTTGGCAAAACTGGATATTATTCATAAGTGTCAGAGTTTAGGAGATTCACTACAAATGGGAACCAAACTTTGGAACTTTTCCTCATGAAGTTTTATATTTTTTTTCTCCAACTAAACAATTCTGCATTACTTTGTTTTCAGAGATGGGAAGTAACGAAGTACAAATACTTCGTTACTGTACTCAAGTAGATTTTTCTGATATTTTTACTTTACTTTATTACTTATTGGTGACGACTTTTTACTTCTACTCCTTACATTTTTACACAAATATCTGTACTTTCTACTCCTTACATTAAAAAAAAAATGGCTCGTTACTTTAGTTTTGAATCATTTCAATGGAGTTACCATTATTATTTTTCACGTCATCAATACCAAATTCAATCTAATTGGATGGGAATCTACATTGCATTTGACACACCACTACAAGATGAATCGACAGATTCAGCGGTATTCATTCGCGGCAAATCATTGCAGCTTGGTGGCGGTGGCATTAGCATAGTAGCATGGACGACGAGATGATTGAAAATGAACACAACGGAGATCTAGTCCTATTGGCAGACATCCATTTAAAATGTAGGCAACGGCATGAAAAAAGTGGTTTCTACTTTTACTTTTATACTTTAAGTAAATTTACAAGCCTGTACTTTGTTACTTTTACTTGAGTAAAGAAGTTTAATCAGTACTTCCACGTTTACCAGAGTATTTTTTAACACAAGTATCTGTACTTTTACTCAAGTACGGAAAGTGAGTACTTTTGCCATCTCTGTTTGTTTTGGTATGGCATGTTAAACCTCATAGAGTGCACAAAAAAAAGGAAAGTTAAACCAGATGGAAAATGGAACACCTACCAATATTCAAAGGGTCTTAACTGGGAGAGAAATGGGATGCAGGACTGCAAAAGAGGAGCAAATAAAGAAACTGGATTTCTATTTGTTCTGCGACTAAATTAACAGTTTGTTAACAGCGTCAAAATCCCCCTCTATGTTGACAAATGCATGCAAAAGATGTCCAACTTATTTTTTTATCATTAGCAACTTCTAAACATTAACTTTTCTCCACATTGCTGATTATTCTGGTTTTGATCACTGACGGACTTATTGGACTGGTGGGTCTTATGTTTAACTGGTTTGGATTTCAAACAAAGCACTGGAACTAACTAAGAAAATATGTTAAAATGTTTCCAGATTTGAGAACTCTATTACTGACTTTAAAACAGCTTATCTGAGTATCTGAAGATAGCAAAATAACATTAAATGGTTCACACAGAGGGTAAATCTCTGGAAAACAAACAAAAAAACGTAAGAGCTGTTTCTCATAACTTAAAATAATATTAATTTAAATCTACAAATTTTTTTTTCTCCAGCAGAACCGCAAGGATGAGGTGTGACGTAAGCAAGCAACAAGACTAACTGTCCTAATGGGCATCGAAGAACACGCCTGTTAAACTTGTCTCCAAGGCAGGAAGACATGGGTGTGACTGTGGAGGCTTCATTTGTCCTCAGGGAAGCTTTTCTGACTCACACCTCTCTATACTTACAGGTCCTCATACCATTCCTCAGACTTTTGCTCAGTAGTTCTCATATTTATTCAAGGTTTCTGAAACATCACATATAAAAAAAAAAATATGATTTATGTGTCTTTAACTCTGCTTTCCTCTCTCTGGTTCAGTAAGCACAGCTGAGGCCGTTGTGGGCGCTGCTCTTTCAGACAGCTGGGTTTTATTGGGACTGTGCCGTCTGTTGCATTTTCCTCCTCGGCCCGGCGTGATGCACCATGTTTCTACATGAACGAACATGGAAGAGCTGTCAGAAGGCTGAACGGTGATACAGGCTCAGTTTGTATTGCACAGGAAATGAAGCTGTCCTTCAACACAGGCGGCATGCAGAGCTGTGTCCATTTCTATAAGAGACTCGGCGAGGACAGGGAACATTTGGACCCTTCCTGTATACAATGGCATCAGATGCATAGTGTTCAGTTATGTAAGTCCACAATATGAAGAACATTTTTGTTTTGTAAAAACAAGAGATTTTTAAGAAAGGGGGCAAACCAACTCATTTAAATTGCATAATGCTGTGCATGTAAACGTACTGTAAAAAGAATAGCTTGTAAGCATCGTTGCAGCATGTTACAGGACTAACAGTCCACTCATTGCCTTCTCTTTTTAATTCAGTGGTAGAGAAATGTCTGGTATGCTGGTGATAGCTGAAGCCCAGAAAGTATTGGAAGAAGTCTGCTGCTCCTGGACCAAAATCTTTGGTCCGAGATTCAAAGGCCGAAGCTGTTCTGGAAGTGTTTTCATGTTGGTCCTGTAAACAGTTGGTGTGCATGCAGATTTTACTGTTAAAAGTATCTTTATATAAAAAAAACGAATTCTTTTTGCTGAACTTCACATCCTGTCATTACAGTGTCAGTCTTTAACTGGAGGTATAAAGCCTTATTCATCAGCCCAGACTGGCTGCATCAGACAAAAGTGGCAGGTTAAAGGGTATCCTTTCAGTCCAGCAGTGAGGGGTGGGAGAGAGACCCCATCCTCGCTTCAATGTGCAACACAAGGACACTCTCCTCAGACAGTGCTTCTTGCTTTTCTCCCAGCTTGAAATGCTCTTTACTTTTGCTACAGTCCTCCTAAGTGTCAGTGAGAGTATGCCAGTGGCAGACCTGCTGCCCCTCTGCCTCCCTCATCTCTGTCCAGTGGGCTTGCTGCTCCTCTGTGGTGCTGCTGTGGCCTAAGGAGACCCATCCCAGCCTCTCCCTGGGCCTCATGCTGCTCCTCCTGCAGAACACAGACAACACCAGCGAGACTTCGGACAGCTGGAAGAGAGCCACCTGGAAGACGAACGTCTCCTTGTAGGTGGGGTTGGGCTGGCCACGGCACACCGCTGTCTTGCGCTTGGACATCTCCTTGCCCTTGGAGTCCAGCATGGTGAGCTTGACGTAGGTGTCTAAGAGGAGAGACATGTATTGGAACAGTGATGGAGCGCCATCAAGTGGAAGAAAAGGAACACTGCAGCAGACATTTTAGAAGAAAAAAGAGAAACTAAAAGGTATGTAAGACTATATTCCAAAAACAACCTAAAAGTAGTAGCCTTACCAAAATTAATCCAAGAGATCATCAATGATTCATCTAAGTAGTCAGATAATAATAAGCTTTATAATTTTGTGAAAAAACATTTTATGTTTTTTTTAGGTTTACTTTAGTTCTAGCAAAATTTACCAAATAAAAAAAAAATAGCAACGGTTTTCCTACGTACAGTGCAGTCAAATAAAGTTTTCCTCACACTCTTTTTTTGTTCTACTGTTTGAGATTAAACACATTTCATTATTAGTTAAAGTTAACACAGCTGTGCAGCTGGACCCTATCAGGCATTCTGTCATGTCTCTTTATTTTCAGTATTAACTCACTCTCACCTTGGCTATGGAAGAAAGGCCCGTCACCACTTGGATTAATCATTCTCAATCATCATCTCTTGGATTCATTTAGATAAGGCTTCCACTTTTGTCGAGCTTTACCCCTGTTCTAGGTTTCCTCTTTTGTTGGACTTTTATTCTCACTTTATGTTGCTTTTTCATAAATCCTTTAACTTGCTTCGTGTTGTCAGACACATTCTAAAACCGAAAGTGATGCTACAAGATTGGAAACTGAAATTAAACAAAGTCGTCCAAAAAAAAAGGTTTTAATTGCATTTCTTTTTTTAAGTACAATTTACATTTAAGAATTAGTTTCATTTGAATGAGCATTCACTTTATTTGCTTATTTGGTAATTCAAGGAATTTTGACTTTGGTTACTCTCTGCTCTCATTGAAGACATTTTAAGTACAAATATATTTTAAAAAAGAAAACAGATTTTTTTCCTGTGAATATGCAAATGTACATTTGTCTAAAAAGAAAGCCGACATGGGTGAAATTTTTAGTTTATTCTAAATCTTAAAATGTCATAACAGTGGGCATTGAGCATTAATTTAAATTTTTTTTTTAAACACAGAAAATTGGTATATAAACTAAAATCCTATATTTAGTTATATGATTAACACCAAAAAATTATAAAGGGTTATTTTAAAATAAGTGAATATGTTCTGACATAGAGCCAAAATGCAGATAGATGTAGCCTAGTAAACTAGCCCCACCCGCCAGCGGCCAAAATAATTTTTGCCTGCAAGTTTAAATTACAAAATTAATCTCACATTTAGTCTGGTTTATCAGGTTAAGATGGATGAGCTTCTGTTTTCATACACGCTACATGTTTTTAACTTTTCAATGTAAAAAAGCAGATAAAAAGTACTCCTCAAATTCCCTGGTTACCAAAAGGTATCTGTCGCCTTACCTCTCATGATATACAGCTGTCCTCCTACGAAGTGCTTCACACAACAAAACAGACCACCTAAAAGGTGGACACACACCACAGCACACAAAAGATAGGAAAGAGGCAAGATAGAAAGCTTAAGAAAAGAAGTGTTAACCAGAAAGCAGATCTAGATTAAAACCGAACAGCTTTGATTGTTGATTGTGACTAAGGACTCCTGTTTTTTGAAAATAAACAACCAACCCATCCCAAATAAACCAGCATACACTCCAATATTTCCCCAGACTGCCTTTAGCTTTAAAAGTCATTATGCTTTTTTAGCTGGAAGGTGAAACATGTCTTCTAATAAGCATTTTCAATAAAGCGACTGCGACAAGTGAAATACCAGTAACACTTTTTAAACCTTGAGCTGTGCATCACTAAATATAACCATCACAACTAGTAGTTTTATTTAATGAACTGTTGTTTTCTACATTTTCTCTTTTCCCCCCATCTGTATCAATTAGAATCTAATATAAAATGCACCATTTATAGAAACACATAATAGAAATTCACAGTGAGGTAAAACAAATCGAACAGATACGAGCTTCTCCATTATAGCTTTAATACTTACTGACAGGTTTATCAGAAGCTGTAGTTTTAAAGTGACTTCCTTGTATAACCTCAGCAGAAAGCTGTCCGGTGGCAGAGTTATAGAGGAGACCCAGGAGGATCTCTGGCAGCGAGGAGTCTTCGGTGGAGCGGTAGGACAGAGCACCTGCACTACGAGACACGCTCACGAGAGAGCCACAGCCCTGGCATGAGGAGAAATCAAACAGGATTATAAGTACCTATAGGTATTTTGTAAACTCATAATAGAGTAGGGTAGAATTCACAAGGTGTTCTCACTGTAAGTTCAGAGCCAGGCTCCAGGGTGACGGGTAGAGCGATCTTCCCCTGCAAGTTGAGCTTAGTCAGGTAGAACACCTTCTCTCCCAGCACCTTCTCCTTCTTCATCCGTCTGATGCTGTACAGGCGAAAGCGGACAGCGTAGTCCCCCAGGGCCTCTTGTTCCACCCTGGAAAACTTGAATGTTTCTGTGAAAACGGGACACGGGCCCTTCTGCACGCCCGTTTTGGCCCGCTGCTTCTTGGTGGGGAGCAGGACCAGGTGGACCTGCCAGGCGATGTTACCCGTCTGCTTCAAAGCGGGGATGTCTGTCGCAGCCGTCACAGTGACGGCCAGCCACTGCTCGGTGGAGTCGTACTCAAAGGCGACGTCCAGAGTGCCGTATTGAGCCATTGGCTCTGGCTCATAGGCTGAAGGAAGCTGAAGACCAGACCCATCCTGAAGATGTCACAATTATAGCGGTGTTATGTATGTACTCTAGTGCTATTTGATAAATAACAAGTTAACCTTTTTTTTTCTAATAAGGTCATTTATCAAAAAAGAAGTTTACTTCTTTTCTTTGAATTCTAAATGTGTGTCATTGTTTTAGGCTTGTTAAACTTACACAAAGCAGCACATAACTATGAAGATGAGGTAAAAAGATAGATGGCTTTTAAAACCTAATTTTAAATATCGAACTGTGACATGCATTTAGCATAAGCATATCAGTCTTAGTTTACTTGTATATACTTAGATAAAATTGAATAGAATTATTTGTATTATATTTTTGTGAAATAAATTCATTTATCAACAATGTCTCAAGCTTGAACATTTCAGAGAGTGAGTATCTAAACCCGGGGACTCACAAACACATTCATTTGCGTATCTAAACGGACTGAGAACAGAACATATGGCATTATTCCTAGAAGCTGCCCAAAAACCCCTAGTTAATCTGGAGGAGTTACAGAGATTTATTTGTCCGGTTGGAAAATCTATCAAATATCTGTTAGTTCACTGTTTCCCAAATCTAGCAGTTCTGGAAGAAGAAAACTGTTGTTCAGAGTAATAAAGAGTCCTGTTTGCAACTTTCTAAAATGCATACAAGAAAGAAGAGGCTCTGATTAAAAAAACAAAACAAAACTGTATAAACATTAAGGCTTAGATGTAAATTATGCAAACCATCCCTGCATAAAGACATAGTGGTGGCAGCATCATCCTGTAGAGATGGTATTCTTAAACATGGATAAGGGGAAAATGTTGATGAAAGAAGGATGGAGCTCAGTTCTGAAATAAAGCCTGTAAGATGCTGAGAAAGTCTTGAGGTCTTGTAGAAAGGTTCATTTTCTACAAGCGTGTTGGCCTAGAGGGTTAGAGCAGTGCCCTTGTGCTCTGAGAAGGTTGCAAGTACCTGGTTTGATCCCCACAGCCTGCCCTCTGGGTCGTTGAGCAAGACCCTTAACCAGAGATGGCAAAAGTACTCACTTTCCGTACTTGAGTAAAAGTACAGATACTTGTGTTAAAAAATACTCTGGTAAAAGTGGAAGTACTGATTAAACTTCTTTACTCAAGTAAAAGTAACAAAATACAGGCTTGTAAATTTACTTAAAGTATAAAAGTAAAAGTAGAAACCACTGTATTTCATGCAGTTGCCTAAATTTTAAATGGATGTCTGCCAATAGGACTAGATCTCCGTTGTGTTCATTTTCAATCATCTCGTCATCCATACTACTATGCTAACGCCACCGCCACCAAGCTGCAATGATTTGCCGCGAATGAATACCGCCGAATCTGTCGATTCATCTTGTAGTGGTGCTTCAAATGCAACGTAGATTCCCATCCAATTAGATTGAATTTGGTATTGATGACGTGAAAAATAATAACGGTAACTCTATTGAAATGATTCAAAACTAAAGTAACGAGCCAATTTTTTAAAATGTAAGGAGTAGAAACTACAGATATTTGTGTAAAAACGTAAGGAGTAGAAGTAAAAAGTCGCCATAAAAATAAGTAGTAAAGTAAAGTAAAAATATCAGAAAAATCTACTTGAGTACAGTAACGAAGTATTTGTACTTCGTTACTTCCCATCTCTGCCCTTAACCACACAATGCTCCCCACTGCTCCTCAAGGGGATGGGTTAAATGCAGAGAGTTAATTTCTCCAATGTGAGATCAATAAAGTTCAATTATTATTACTATTGTCAGCAGGATAAAACTTAACAATCGCTACCATAACTGATTGAATTACATAGTACCTCATTTTCTAGCAGGGATCTAACTCCAATACTGTAAAAAAAGGTTCACAGACACTCGCCATCTAGTCTGACTGAACTTGGGATATTTCACAGAAGAAATTTCAATTATGAAAGTAGTGTTTAGAATTTTGAAAACCTTGTGACATTTTCATTCACAATTACGAACTACATTGTGCTGTTGTATCACATGCAAAAGTAAACAGAAGTTCGTAGTTGTAAGGTTTAGATGCATGCACAAGTCATTGGTTACCCTAATAATATGGTGGGGTAAAATTGCTTCCACCTTTCCTCGCATACTGTTTTTTCTTTTCTTTTTTTTTTTACAATTTATCTAATAAGTAGAAGGTAAATTGAATTATTTAAACTTACCTCTGGACTTAGAACAGCAGTGCTGTCACTGGGAATGTCCTCTTCGCAGCCTTTGTTGAGGTAACTCTCAGTATCCTGGTCCATGCTGGCCTCGCTGGAGCAACGAGGGCTTTCTGAATTTTGCAGGGACGACGGCCTCCTGACTCCTCGTTCTGAACAGTAGCGTGAGGACTTGCGTGTCCCTGAGTTTACGTGATGGTATGGGGGAGGCTGGAGCTCAGTTAGTGAGGAATCTTTCTTTATCCTCTGAATGCTGGCAGCTGGAGTCACAACAAAGTAAACAAAGATCGGGTAGAAGGAAAAAATATTTCAGAGCTGCAGGACAAAGCTAGGCAGATTTATTTTGAATTCAAACATACCCCTTTTCAGATGTAAGCGCTAAATTATAAATGTAACCTATATGTCATAAATATAAATAATCATAATTGTATGTCCCGTAATAGAAATTTGAATTTTTACTTTCTAATGCCTAGACTGGAAAAAATATGGCAAAAGCTTTCCACCATGATACAAAACTGCCCAAAAAAGTAACCGTAAGGCTTAATGTTGTCTTTAAAACCTCTTTAATCTACATATATATATTTAAAAAATGAAGGAATTTATTATAAGCAAATCTTAAATTTAAAGATACAAATAATTACATTATAGTACATTACTAAATATACTATTATAAGCTATAGCTAGTTTTATTTTAATCTTTTTACCATATTTAGGATCTGTTTTTTTAACTGCCTTCTCATTATTTTAATTTATTATAAAATTATCATTTTACTTTTACAAGCTAAATAAGATAAGGATAAATAAGGTATTATATTACCCTGTTCACTGGAGGCCTCGCTGTTGTATCCTTCCAGCTCATTGGACTGTTTGCCTTTCCTCCATGCAGAGCTTACATTCTGCTGGGTCACACCCTCTGGGATTTTTTCCTCTTCGTGCTTTAAAATATCTCCATCTGTACAGGACATATGGAGACTTTCGTTAAAGTGGTAGATTTATCTCCTAAGCAAAAGTTAGTGCAATATTGAAAGAGGCAAGACCAAGCTGGAAGTGGCACGCAGCACTCAGTCAGTCAGAGTAGAAGCTTAAAAAGAGGAGAGCCAAAGATCAGAGCACACACTGAAGTGTCACACTCTAACCTTGGTTTCCTTTCTTCTTCTTCTTGCTTTTCTTTCCTTTGTCTTTTGTTTTCTTTGCTTTTAAATCCTCCTCACATGAATGCAAACTGTCTTCGACCTTTTTTTTATCCGACTTCCTCTTTTTTACTTTAGAGGAAGATCTAGATGGCTCATCCTCTTCCTCGTTGTCTGCCTCGCTCTCTTGTACAGCTTCTAACTCTTCTTTTGCTTCTCCATCTCCCTTCTGCTCCTGCTTTGATATCTGTGTTTCCATTTCATTGTCAGAGACATCCCTTTTTTGTTGAGCAGATATTTGATCGTCATCCTGATTTGTCTTTCCGTCTTGTCCGTCTCCACTGGCTGTTTTCTCAGAGGCCTCATCTTCCTCATCTTCTCTGTTTCTTCTAGCTTCGGCTTCTTTCTCCAGCTGTCTCTCCCTCCTCTCTTTTCTTCTCTGCTCCCTCCTTTCTTGTATCTCCCTTTCCTCCTCCTTCCTCCTTTCTTCTTCTGCTAACTCGGCTTCTGTTTTTTTAACTCTCCAGCATCCATCCCTCCATTCCCACTCTAGTTGACTCTGAGAGTTCTGTGCCTCCATTGCATCGTTGGTTTGGTTGTTTTTCAAACCCGTCTGACCAGAATCAGAGTTTTTTTGCATTTGCCACATGCTTCTATTGCCAGCCCTTCCTTCTTGTGAGCCGGAGGCCTGACGAGCATCCTGGCTCCTGTTGTTTTCCCCCTCCTCTTCCTCCTGCACCTTGTTGATAATAGTAGAGACCTGCTCTGTGAGCTGGTCGCTGACTGCATATGTGGCATCGCTGACTGCAATTGCCAAGTCATCCACACGACTGGTGACTGAGTCCAGGATGGAGGAAATGTTGACAGACGGCAGGGTCGGCTGGAAGCTTTTGAAGAAGGCCATCTCCCAGTCGGAGGGATTCTATTACACGTTGATCGCTAGATTAGCTCATCAAAAGCACTGACACAGACATGTGTTGGTTAGCAGGGTGTGAGGTCATCATCACAGTATTAACATGCATTCAGCAGTTAGTTGATGGTAGAGATTAGCCTACACTGGTATAATTTCAGCTGATCAGTTGGAAAATTAATTTCAAGAAATAACTCACAGCTTTTAAGTTTTCTTTCAAACAAATTCTGATCTACTTTTACTACTGATTTTAGCCCATATATGACTCTTTCACAATATAAGGCCATGGTTAAACATTTTTTCACTTTTTCTTCAATTTGAATTTAATATTGTTTGTTATTCATCTAAAACCCTGCGACAGACTGGCAACCTGTCCAGGGTGTACCTTGCCTCTTGCCCGTACACTGCCCAAGATACGCACCGGCCCCATCGCAACCCTGAGAAGGACTGAGCGGGAGAAAATGGATGAATTAATTCATCCAAAATAAAAAAAACAACTTTGTACGGCTGTTCCACCCTTTAAAGGAAAAGTCCAGTTTTGTTAAGAATACAAACTTTTAAAAGTACTTTAAGTATGAAATTATTACAAACTGTTCAATAAATGATAAGTGTTTGTAATTAAGAGTAATTTTCATTTGAATATTCTATACTGGAGGCATCCATGTTTGTCAGCGAGCACTACTGCCACCTACTGGTTTGTGACCTAATGGTTCGGTATCGGCTGTTGATCAAGCCCCGGAGCTGTATCTGGTGTTTGTCACCACGCGCTCTTATCCAAGTCATCTTGAAAACATTCTCCTTCAAAGTATTTTTTCTCTGGCAAAAGTTCAATGGCAAATCCTCTATCTTTAAGTTGGCAATCCAATGACGAACCCGTGGAGGATCAAGAATCGGAAAGTGAAATAACCAATTTTTTTTTTCCCTTTTACCGGATGTTTTAAAACATCCAACTACCAACCACGAGAGCTATAGTTAAACTGATATTGTCAGTTTAACTATAGCTCTCGGGAATTTAAATGGTGAAGTCTCCTCGAATTCTAAAATAATTGTTGTTGATTGCAGATATGTCTGGTAGTTCCCACTGATTTTGTTTGTAAAGCGGGGAGAATTGTGCTAGGCTTACCACACCATGACGCACCATGACGTCCCCTGGACTCAGTGATCACAACAAAAATTTTAAGTTTTTTTTTTAACTGATTAAAAATAAATTCATTAAATCACCATGGGCGTATTAGTTTTAAGTATAGATAATGATCCATTGATCATTGCTTGCTGACCGGACTTTTCCTTTAACTGTTGCTTATTTGAACAGGCTTTTGTTCTCCAAATCAATGAGAATGATAATATTCTCATGGATTTGGCCCTCCACAAATCAAACCTACAGATTTTCTACTGCATTTAGTTTTGGAATCTGGGAACCATTAATTTTCTTTAGGAAAGGCTAATTCCATTGAGTTTCCATTGAGTTTGCTGTGAAAATAATCATCGACTTCTTCAGGTTTCTGGCAGGGTATTAGATTAAAACTTAGTCTTATTGGGAACTGTTTATATATACATTTTTTTATGGCTCCTTCTTTTATTTATTTATTTTTATTTATTTATTTATTTATTTTGTATTGTTTTATGTTCATTGTTGGGTGTCAGCCTAACATTATATTTTATAATTATTGCCCAAAACCTTATCTTTAGTTTAATAAAGTGAAACACATGAATAATTTAGCAAGGTTTCAATGTTTTCTTTGAGGGAAGGGTGGCTATCTTGCAGCCCTCCTCCTTACTTTCCTTTATTACTGGTGATTGCTGTTGCATGCAGATTTCCTTTGAAATTCCTGCAGCTCTGAAAGTGTCGCCATTGATGTGTTGTTTTCTGTTTTCTGTTGTCACCTTTGCTGCAATATATTTGTTGCAATGCATTAGAGCGCATTTTATGCTAAAAAAGTTTTTGTACCCTTCTTATGACTAATCTTTTTGATACTTTCTAATGTGCAAACTATAACTTTAGCGTATGTTTTTTAAATAAGAACATAAGAACAAACATCCAGAATATATTAAAATTGAATATTAGAAATAACTTTTATCCAATTTGCCTTTTCAGTAAAATAGATAAACTGCCTTTTCATTTCTAACTAAATTCACACCAAGAACAAGGCCTATATTCATCAAACCATTGATGGTCTTTAACAATGCAAGGCTCCCACTGTAATCGAGTAAATCAGTAATAATACTTCTCTGACATTACACTTAGTGTACATCTGAATACTCTGTCTCATTTTCAGTCACAATAACTATAAAGATTGTTTTAGATATATAGTGGTATTTAACACAAGCTTGTTTGTCTTTCTGCAGCAAAAAAAAAATATATATATATATATACATGCCAAAAATACTGCTACCAAAACATTCCAACTGTTACATGCCATAAAATGTTGCAATACACAACTCCAAGACAGCCAATAATAATGTTACTCTGCAAACATATCAGCAGATATGGTGAGTTCGTAAATGTGTTAAGTACCTTGCTGGGGATTCTTATGTCCGTTGAGATGTGAAAGATTGTCAGGACTCTGCACAGACAGTTTGTTGCTGAGGTAAAGAAAAAACAGAGCCATCAACACCACAAAGGCTGCAATGGAAGACAAAACACCCAGAAGTTCAGGAGAAACTGAGGTGAGGGGAGAGCAGGTGGGGGGAAAGAAAGAGGAAAACAGAAAAGGAAAAAAGAGACAAGAAAACCAAAAATTAGAAAACTGTCACTGCTGTAAAAGTTTTGAACCACTTTTTTCTAGAGCTGAGCAGCAATAACACACACACACATACACACACATCACTGCATCACATTGCTGCAATCTGAACATTAGTGTTTGTACGTAAAATATATTAAATCTGAACAAGTATATTTACTGTAAAAAAAATAAGACATCTCAAACTGAATTCAAACCTAATTATTCACTGTTAAAAGGGCAAAACATTATCTTCTATTAGTTTCCTCTTACTTCATGAGCAGATATAAGCTGTGGTGGTGTATGTAGGCCATCCACACTTCATGTAACCAAGCAGGCAGTCCTGTGCTATTTTTACTAGAGCCTCAAAGGAACAGAATCTAACAGAAAAGTAGATTCAGTAATGCCTGAAAAGCCAGATTGGTCCATCATTTAGGACACTGCCTCACAGACAGATTAGCTGAAGGCAGATGATCTGTTTAATTATTAAATTAAAGAGCAGCAGGTAAAGAAATAAAGTTGATAAAAAAGAAATGTGTTTGAGATTTTTTTATTTAGCTATGTTAAAGCTTAAACTCATGCCCATTTTAACAAATCAGTAGAGCATTGCAGGGCATGGACTTAGTGATTTTTAACCCTGCGAATATAAGACTACAGTAAAGGAGGAATAGACAAAGTCCTTGGAGCCAAAATGCAGTAGTGTACTTATACCATTGTGTTACACAATTTTCTTTGCTAGAAAAGCTTTATTGCTCTAAATTTTTCTGTGACTGACAGCAAAGGGTCTGCAGTACAGGTTTCCCTCCTTAGTTCCCATTTATTGGCTGTTGCATTGTTTGTAATTCCCTTTTCTGACTCAGTAAACCGTTTCCAGTAATATATTGTTTAATTGATTGCTTTTCAGTATTTTTCAGGCATAAAAATATCCATTTGCAACACGATGTTCGGTCTAGTACTGATCATGTGGCAGTTCTGCTTGGTTAACCTATTCAAACAAAGAATGAAATCTTTAAAAATGGAATAGGCTGTAACATATAGTATTTATCAAATAATATATAATACACTTTAGATAACAATCTGCACAATGCCACATTGTTACAGCTGCTGCTTATCTTGCTAAAAAGCTAGTAGCTGTTCAGGAAAATTATTTAAGTTATACAAGCCTATCTTTAACCTATAGTTATATACTGTAGATGGACTCAGTCAAAATACAGCAAATCAGTAAGAGCACTTAAGCCAAAGCGGAAATGCGTCAGTGGTCACCATAATAAGTGCTGTCTGAATAAATGCTGATAGTAAGGAGAGAGGTAAGAAAAGAAAGCTGAATGCTTCTTATTGATAGTTTATTTAGAATAGGAATCTCCCAATATTCCTATTAAGTACTTATAATCCATACGGGCCAGGACCCCTGTAGATAATGTCCTGGCCCGTGTTATGGCCGCTGTACTGAAAACATAATACTCAAAGAAACTCTAAAGATGATATGCCCTGCAACAAGCATGGTTACTGAAAGGTCCTTTGGACCTATTTCATTTTTTTCTTTACAAATTGTATTTTATGAACTATTTAAAAAACAATAAGGTGATGGCTTCAGTGGTATTGAGATATGATCCCAGTTTTCATCTGCTAAATGTTTTTTTGAAAACAAATTAATAACATGCTCAATTTTTTTACATCTGAATTTAACAGTTTTTCTTCAATTCTAATTCAGATTTTATAGAAAACTGTAATTTCAACTTAAATTAAGTCATAAATATGTACAATTCCAAAATTCTGAATGTATATTCACCTAAAAAGACATTTAGAATTTTAATTAAACTTAATTGAATAGAAGTATCACCTTATGCAGCTATCCTGTTTTTTATTTCATGCTTTTCTGTGCCCCCATGAAAACACGCTGGCACCCTCCTGGCCCCCCTGGTACATTTGGTCTAGAACCGCCACTGATCCATAATCCTTTGCAATTAGAGGATGTATAAGCACAACACAATTTAACAAAAAAACATAATTTCTTCATATGTACTCTGTGTGACACATGCAAATGTGTACACACCTTTTTACGGTTTGGGTTTTAATATGGAGAGTTTTAGCCTAGATTTCGTTAAATGCATTTTTTTGTATTCATTTTTCAGGAGGCTTTTGGGCCCAATATGACAAACATTATGCATGTGTGTGACCATCACATAAAGCTAACAGCTGACAGAATTTAATATCAATATGGAAAGCAGTATGATATGTTTCATATTTCCCAATATGAGTGGAAAATGTGACACATTTCTCCTTGGAAGAATTACGCTTGGTGGAATGCTCACTCTGGAAAATACCCACTACCTCAAAGCCCTACCTCTTTAAATGTTCAAATTGTTTAGTTTCAGCCAGCTATCAATACGTTATGGCATTTTTCATGGCAGAAACCTTTGTAGTGAGTTTTATAGTGATATTTTTTAGATATTAGATTAATGTCAATAAGTTTCCTCTGTTTATGCCTCTTTTCCTTACTGAAGAAACTTTTCAAGGTTCCTTATTACTAATCTTAGTAATAAAAATCTCCACTGATTCCAATTCTAAATTGACTCCGAGCAAAAATCCGGGCTTTTTGGAGGTCTTAATATGACGCATAATTATTTTGATGGCTAGAGAACAGTTATACTGAGGCTGTAAAAAAAATGAAAGGATAAAAACGAGGGAAGAAACAAAATAATCTTACAACCCATAAGATATTAAAAAATAGTAATGAACTAGTAACTGACATTTTGAATATCACTAATTTTCCTCTCCACTGTCGCTAAAAGCATGCTTAGTGTGAGGGATTGTGTTTGAGTCAACGAGTCAATGTAATCAACTGGTTTTCCTTAGATAGAAAACTTTGAATCAATTTGACTGTATGATCTCGTTGAACTGTAAAGTGTTGTGAATTGGCGCTATATAAATAAACTGAATTGAAATTGAATTGAATTAATATGCAGTAGTGGAAAGTAAAAAGTACATTTACTTGATTACCGTACTTAAGTTTTTTTTTTCCAACATGCAGGATAGCAGACCTTAGAACTGAATTTGAACACCACTGTTTTAGAGATTTGCATGACATTCCACAAATGTGAGAAACTCAGGGCAGACATTATTTGTAGTTTATACAATTTATTAAGGCATTAGTTGTTGCCTTGTGGCCAAGTCTATTTGGTAGGATGAGTTCTCAAAGCAGATTTGCATTTTCCTTTTTTCTTGGTCTGTTTCTTGGTCTGAAAGTGTGAGGAGAATCAAGACTCTCCTGTTTTCTTTTTGGGTTGTTTTTGAAGAAGTAATAATACTAATCAAAATACCCGTTCTTATTATTTGTGTGGCATTTTTATGCTGAAATTTTTATAGGTGTTGTAGAATTGGTAGCATGTGTTTGTATACATCAGTACATCAGGTGGTTTATGAAAGTTACAAGGTTTTTAAAATTACTCTGAAAATGATACAGAAATGTACCGGTATTAGAACATTTGATTGTATTTTCAATACTTAAGTACTTTTAAATGCATGTAATTTTGAATACTTATGTATTTTCAAAGGTGAATACTTCAATACTTTAACTTGAGTAGATTATTGACTGAGAAACCTTTACTTGTAGTTGAGTAAGATATGACTATGAGAATAAATACTTTTACTCAAAATCTACTGTTGAGTACTTCATCCACCACTGCTAATATGATTAGCTCTGTCAGAACAGCATTAGTTTTTAAAGGGAAGATTAATGCAAAATTGCTCCAAGCACAAGTTTTCTGTGTCCTAAGCCACACAAGAAAGTATTTTACTAGATTTTATTTAAAACAAAGAAAAATAATTCAATTAAATGTTCAATTTAATAGTATTGATAAATATTACTTTATTTATTAACTTTAATTCAAAAGCCTGAAAACATATCACGTATGATATTAAAACATTTAAATGCTTTAATGATGCTGATTAATAATAAGTTACAGAGATAATTCATGAGCACACAAGTTAGATCTATAGTAATTCATTTTATATCCTATAAAAGTCCTTTGAAGTTGGTAGGGACAGATTTGCCTTAGCATTGAAACAGGAAAAAAAGCTGTTGCAGCTTTATGAAGTAGTATTACATCAATGCTAAGTCCTCAAAAATGGCAAAACAGATAATAAATCAAGCTGTCTTACCTTTTGTATAATCAAACAAGTTTTATAATCCATGTATATATATTCAAAATGACAAAAGAGGATAAAAACATAAAGCTATTGAGCTCTGGAAAAAAAGAACAAAACGTAATTAATCCCAAACTAAATCCGATCCAATGGTTTTCAGATTTAAATGTCAACTCTCACTGCTGATTGAGCCCAGATGACCTCTGCAGTGGTGTTCATATAAAAACTACAAGCTCGTGGCGTTGCTATCTGAAGGGATTTGAGGACGCTTCATAGATCACTCTGCTCTGGTAAATTTTAACAGCAGCTGAATAATTCAAAGCCCTGAGGGTAACCTGATGCCTTCATCAATGTACACTTGAAAGCAGAGGCGTTTATATGATCCCCAACATTTCTTCACCAGCAGAGGTGATGAACATGTTTGCCAATCCTTCTCCATTTTTATTCCTGTGCCTTTGTTATTTAGAGCTGATAAAGCAAACCTTAAAAAGAAAACTTAGGTTGAACTCGGGACTCTGAGTTTGCACTGCAGGACCCAATCAACTTTCTTTTCCAGCTAATGACTCCTCCAAGCTGTCTAACAAACCTGAAAACGCAGCCACTGAAGCATTCTGAAATGAAATAAGTGCTCAGAGAAATGTGAGCTTGTCTCAACAAAAATGAAGGAAATAAATGAATCTGTCAGATATCCATACCTTTAGGAAAATGTAATGGTTTTAAGCTTTAGGAGCAAAGAATTATATACTTAAAGGAGTGTGGTTGTTTAAAATGAACCAATATGGAAGCCTTACTTGCATATGGACCCCTAGAATGAAACCAAACCTACTTGCTAAATAAATCATGCACATAGCTGCCTTATTTCGCAAAGGCACACTAAACTTGATACAGCATACATAATTCACAAAAACACTGTGTTACAAGGACTGTAAAAGCAGTATACATTTATTTTCAGTAAAACGAGGCATACATGAAGGACAGGTAAGGCTTGTAGAAGGTAATACAGATTTCTGAAGACAAGGATTTACCTCGTCTAGCACAGATGAGCTCGTGAGCACCACAGTTTCTCCCCCCTCCTGGAAGACAGAGAGAAAAACAATTATGCAAAGGATTGGCAAAACATTTCCATTTTTTTTCTTAAGTTGAATAACGTTTCTGTATGAACCCAGTTTCCAAAATTATATTAGAAGTTTTACATCCAAAGTACAGCACAGGATAATCTTCTTAAACTAACATAGAAAAAAATGTATATTTCAGCATGAAATAAGTTTCACCATAATTAATTTTACTTAGAGATTTGTTCATGGCTGAGAGGTGCCAATGGGCAGCATTAAATAAAACAAACAAAAAAAAAAGGCAAAAATGAGGCTTACAAACAAAAACCGCAGACTAGCAAACACAAAACAGAGGCTAACATAGGGACACAATAAACACACATAAAGGTAAAACTCTGCAAGTCACAAAAGCAGCTGCAATTAAAAAGTAAAGCTGCAAATTAGTTCTACCCAATGAAAATATGCCAGACCACTAGGGGGAGACGATCATCAACTACTATGAGACCAGACATTATTACAAATTAGTGGGTGTGTTCGATTTCAAAGGCTGCATCCTTCGAGGACCCGGTCTATCTGAACTGGATCCTTTGAGGTCCGGCGAAAATAAGGAGACTGCAAGAGTTTTGGCTGTGATTTCAAACAGGTCCAGCCTTCCTTGCCTTTCACTGACGTGCCCTCTGTCGCCTAGCAACTGTGAGAGTAGACACGACAAGCAGGAAAACACTGAATACCGAACTGCTGTTTCTTTTTATTTATTTATTTAACATTTTCGAGGAGTTTCAATACCAGTACCGTATCAGATTTAAAGTCCCCACAATGCAGATATATTAGAATCTGTCCTTCATTGACAACCACACCCATTTACATAGTGACAGATAAAAACCTTTCAATAAACCAAACATTATGGGCAACATATCTGACTCAATAACTATTTAAAATTCTATTTTCATTAATTCCAGACGGAACTATTTACATACTTGTATTATAATACAATACACTTACAATATTCACCACTGTTAGGCGCCAAGTACCTTTTTTCTCTGAGCACGGAGCAGCCTGCTTGCTTAGACTCTACGTAGGATAAACAGGACCTCAAAACGGGCAAAAAGAAGGCTGCATTTGTCGGCCGCATAACGAGGAGTCTTCCAATCCGAACAGACCTCGGCGCCGCGCTATGACGTAATCGGCCAACGAATCTGACCTTCAGAGGACGCAGCCCATGAATTCAAACTCAGCAAATGTCAATGCAGACCATAAGCAAAAACATTAACAGGATGCTCACTCAGAGGACATGTGGAGAGAAGGGAAAAAAGGAAAGTTTTTGTTTACATTAATCTCTCTGGACATCCAGTTTATGATGTTCGTACTGACCAAACAATACATTTAATTAAAATAATGCAATGCTATGCAGATGCTCTGTCTGCACTGAAGAAAGAACATGTTTGCTTGTTGAATACAAGAAGTGGTTAACATAGTAGTGGGGGCTGGCCTTCTTTATTATTCAGCTTATAAATAGCATAAAGGCTCAACTTCAAGATGGTGAACTAATCTGGAGCCTTAGAAAGAAAAAAAAAACTTTTATTTACTGACTGCCTTTATACAGCTGGATCTTTATACAGTGAGGACATACACATATATGAAATAATACTAACAAATAATGAGACACTTTATATTTCTTAAACAGTAAACTTAAATTGATTGCATCCTTTATTTATACTTCCTTCACGCAAGACCCAACAGGCCTCTTTTCTCTGTAGACAAATTACTGCAGGTAGCAGATATATCTAAAGCTCGTGCAGATTGCACCACTGTCACTGGTCTGACAGGTTGAGGAAGGGGTAAGGTGGGACATGGGGGTCTGTGGGTGTGATAATACCCACGTAGAGTTTAAGTCACTGAAGATAGTGGAGATTAGCCTGGACTTCATGAAAAAAGTAATCCAACAATGCCTCCTCTTACCATCTTCTATAGACCTGTGTTTACTGTGGATTATCTCCAATTAGAAGCCAAAAACACATTCACAAAACAGTATAATTGATATTTCCTTTCTTATATGTTAATATAAAATATTCCCATTTAAGGTAAAGTGTAACCACGGTGATATTTCATGACTGTGCAAAATCTGATCCTAATTCTCATGGGAGGTTTGAGACCTAATACTGACCCCTTGTGGCTATATCCAGTAACGTCAATCATTTTATTTGATAAACCTCAGTGTTAACAAATCACTGTTATCACTATTATTTCACATGCAAATACTTCTTTAATTGTATATTCTAATCAAATTCATCAGTTTAAATCTGTCTAGCAACGTGAATTTGAAATTCTGTTCTGTGAAATTCTCATCATACATCTGGCTGAGATGCAGTTTTGTAAATGTATACTTTACAATAGTATATTTTTTGCTGTTTGCTTTTTTAAATTTCATAAAATCTGACAATCCTCCTGACATACTTACCCCATCCAGAACTAGTTCTCTCCAGCTGATAGTACACATTAACTCAGAAATAACTCACACTTTCTCTCATTTCTAAACTAAATTAACATCTCTGTTGGGTAATGTCTCCCACCCCATGCATGAAGCTGTTGCAGAACTGGAGAGCTCCTTCAGTGACACACTGCTGAACCCTAAATGCACCAGGGAGCGTTATCACAGATCCTTCCTCCCAGCAGCTGTAAGACTCTATAACCACCACTGTTCCCAACAACCTCAATAAGTTGTTACATTCATGCTCACATTGCACAGTTTCTATCTTACTTTTAAATATTCATTAATGTTAAAATATTCATAGCTCTATATTGGTTATTTATTCTCCAGGCGCAGTTTTATATTGTTAAAACACTTTACAGTACAGTATCTTATTATCTTTTAACTCTTCACAATTATGTTATTCTTATACATTTTTCTGTTTCCCCATTGTGGGACAATGAAGGGATTTTCTATTCTATTTGCTGAACTTGAATAGATATTTCAAGCTTGTTTTACTGATCTATGAGACTGCAGTGAGAAATGTTTGAGCTTTTTTTCACTGTATTCTACCCAATGTTAATATTTTTCCCTTTGTAGAATGCAAAACGGCCACCAAGAAAAGTTAAAGATAAGAAATGGATAAAAGTAACTGAGGCCCAGCTTTGTTCTAAGGAGGTGCATTTGTATGGTCATTTACATGTTGAAACAACTTTTGACCTCTCACGCTTTAAACATTCAAAAACCAAAACAAAAACATTTTATTTATATTTTTTTCTCTTAAAATTATGACTTTCCTACGGTGGCTGAGAAGTGCAAAACACATTTACAATTCAAAAACACATTAACAAATAAAAAACAAAATAACATTTGAAGAAACAAAATTATATTTTATGAAATGTATTTTTGAAAAAAAAAGTAAAAATTTTTAAAAACAAATTTACATTTTAGCAAACAAATTTATATTTTAGGAAACAAATTCACATTTTAAATAATACTACAGATTGAGCTGTTTGTACTACAAGCCAGGGTAATCGTGACATCACATCCGGCCACTGGGACATTCCCTTTCCGTGTAGCCGTCTTTTGTTAATTTGTTTTTGGCTATGTAACTGTGTTTTGCCGCTTGCAGTTTTGTCTTTGCACTTGTACAAGTGTTTCCGAACGGTCAAATTTTTTTTAGAAGTAAATTTGTTTCCCTATAATGTATTTTTTTTTCTCTAAAATGAAACTTTCTCTCACCTAAAATCTAACTTATTTAAAATGTGAATTTGTTTCCTAAAATGTAAATTTGTTTTTAAAAATTTAAACTTTTTTTTTTTTATTTAAACTTTTTTTTTCAAAAATATATTTGTTTCATAAAATATAATTTTGTTTCTTCAAATGTTATTTTGTTTTTTATTTGTTAATGTGTTTTTGAATTGTAAATGTGTTTTGCACTTCTCAGCCACCGTAGGAAAGTCATAATTTTAAGAGAGAAGAGATTTATTTTTTATTTTTTTGCAATGCATAAAAAGCCCATGTGGAGAGAAGTGGAAGTTACCAACTACTTATTCGTTGATATATAAATGTATAGCTTTCCATCAGGGAGATTAGAAGGAATTACGGATTCAACGCCATTGCTTTACCCGGGGCCTCGATCATGCCAGAACCGCCGCTGTTAACATTCTCAATGATCCTCATTAAATTGATCCATCATGCACGTACGGCCACACGTGACTTTAACGCAGCTCTGCCGCTGAATTTCAGAGTAATCAGACCTCATCTCCACGCTGATAGCCCTGTTCACTAACGCCGTGGGTTAAATGAACTATAAACATC